ACCCTAACCCTAACCCTAACCCTAACCCTAACCCTAACCCTAACCCTAACCCTAACCCCACACAAACGTCGTTCGCTCTGCAGGTGATGATGATTGTGCTTTGTGAGGAAAACATGTTTCGGGGTCCGCGTCTTGCAGCGGGTGATTCGCACTTCCCTAGCCATTTTGCCCAACGGTGTTTCATCATCAACTATATTATGACCAAGAGTTGTAGGCTGGTGTTCGCTTGTAGCGGCCGGCCAAATGCTTCCAAACAAACACCATAGGACAGCCCAGTGGCCAGTTGCACTCAAAATTCAGCATCTGCGGCAGAGCTGCGGAATTCGGGCAGAAGACGCGACCCGGCTCGTCTTCCCGATAGAACCCTGTCAAAAATGTCAGCTGCTGCACGATCTTCCACTAAACCCTCCTCGACCTTTTGACTTCTCTTGTAGAGGGACATTCGTCCTCTGACGAGGTGGAAGACATGTCGGCCCCAGGCCTTGTGCAGCAACTGCGAAGGTGGGCACTCACTTTGACTCTTGGGCTTGTTGCTGCTCTAGCCGTTCACCTTGCACGGGTGTTTCCTTGGTACCGCTTGTATCTTGGCAAGTCTCCGCTCTGGTCGTTGCAGCAGGTTGCTTTGCAGCCCGTGTCCAACGAAGGTTTGTGCTTCAGTCCCAACAGTGCCGCTCTAAGGACAGCAGATGCCGCCTCAACAGCACCAATTGGCTCGTACGTCACAGCCGGCTTGGATGATGGGCGATGCTTCCACTATGCTTCTCGCTTCGAGCCTTACCTGAATCACGACTGGAAAAACACATACATCACCAAGACGCAAGAACGCCTCGGTCTGCAAGATCACACAATTGTGACGAATGACCTGATTTGGTACTCGAATCTCTTGGCTGAGCACGAGCCGAGTGCGTACCCCCACATCGAGTGGTCGAAAGCAACAAGGCCTTCTTCGTGTCCGACTCGCAAGCTGTCGAGCTCACCAAGTAATGCTTCGACCAGAGAAAACAAGATATCTCGAGTCGCTTTTCTCCTTCGCTGCTACCAAGGTTTCGATTGGACGCAAGACGCTGTTCTTCACATGCGCGCCCTGATCTGGGAGTTGCGCACAGCCCGCCTCGCCTTCGATGTCGACGTTCACCTCCTTCTGGAGGTCAAGGAGGCGGCGTCGCACGTCTCCATGTTCAGTGCTGCCGGGCGAAGACAAATTCTTCGTGGCAGCATCCCGATTGAGTTCTGGTCCATGGTCACGCTCTGGAACGAGAGCGAGATGCTACTGCGCTATCCGTTATATGGAGACTTACGAGCGGGAATTGCGGCAGCAGGATCGTATCGTGGCTGTCTTCTAGCGGTGCAGCGATTCGCCGTCGAGCATCCAGAATACGACAGTGTCATCAACTGGGAGATGGACACGCGCTTCACTGACACCTACGATCATCTCTTAGCGGCGGTCCAGAAGTACGCGTTCCGGCATCAAGCACAAACATATACCAAGTGGCCGGTAAAGGACCGCGAAGAAGATGCGTCTGGAATTGGAGAGCAGTGTAAGGACAAGACGCCTGACGTGGTGGTCTTCTCGCCCGTACGAGATCCACAGGATTCCGGGTGGTATTGGGAGTACGACGTGCAGGGATATGCAGGTATGGAGTCTACTACGCGTGCAGCTTCGGTGGGCACCAATCTGTGGCTCAGCAGGCGGGCATTGATGGCGCTGGAGAATGTGACGGCAACGCAGCATCAATCCCTGTTTTGCGAGGCGATAGTGCCAAGTTTAGTCTTCCGTTCAACAGCGCTTTCGCTAGAGACCAGCGATGATTACTGCACCGAGCACTTCAAGCTAGTGCACTATCCGCATCCGATGGCTTTCCAATACCAAGCGCCGCCAGACCAACTGGATCGATTGCTGAATCCATCAAGCGCAAAACTTGCAAAGCACAACGAAGAGGCGCTCAAGGACACTTCTTACTACTACACTTCCACCATCGCAGGACAATTGTACGGGAGGTGGCAAACGGAGACGAAGGCTTGCATCAAGCCTCTACTGCTGCATCCGATCAAGAGCCCGGCAAGGTCGTCGGAAGCGCCGCGTCGCAGCAGCAAGATTCTCACCGGCTGGTTGACAGGCGAAGGCTCACTTCATCTGTGCTACGCAAGCGCAGATCAACAGTGCTCGGACACAATCCGAGCAGACGTCCAGCGGTATTTGGGCCGGAAACTTGACGTACAGGCTTCAAAGGCATTGTTTCAGTGGGATCTTGAACGCCCGAGATTCATCAGCAAAAGGCCCTGGATCATGAACTCGAGCAAGCGAGCATTTGTGCAGACTCTTGCCATACTCGTGTGCGCCGCTAGCATCTTGCGCATTCTTCTGGACCGGTTCGCGCCTCAGGGAGCAGCGAAAGGACAAGGAGAATATATCCCGCTTGCCGTACAGGAATGATATCTGTGAATCTATGCCTTCCATACCTGATTTCACGCTCGTGCTCGTCTGATCGGTTGTTAGCAGGTGGGCTCTAAGATCCTGATGTTGCGAGAACGATGTCGACTAATGACTGGTTGACGATGAAGGCTACTTGACCTAACAGCCCTGTTCTTTTTTTCCTGAGTATGGGCATCGAGAGGCGCGTTTCTCGCAACGGTCGCGCACGCTCGCACCGTCTCGGAACACGGAGGCACACCAACACTGACACCAACACCTCCTCTCCACTGCGCATCTGCATCTGCCACCGCGATCGCGACAAACTCCTCCGCACCCCTTGTTTGGATCTTGCACAACACGCCATCACCCGTGTCCTTCTACTCGCCAGCCGCTCTACACGGCTACTCCAGCTTGTCTCTGCAGCTCAAGCACAATCATCGCATTTCTTTCCAGAGACCGCCATGATCTCGTGATGAAAGGGACATCTTTCCGTTCTTAACCGTACCTGTCCTACACGCAGCGCCGTAATCTGGCCGAGCCATCTGCAATCTCTTCTCACGACACTCAGAATGACTATCGACGAAGCATCGACTCCGAACAGGAGCTTCGACCCATCTGGGTCCAAGCTCCCGACCCCGAACACACCTCCGGCTAGACGCGGAGGGCACGTGCGCTCAGCCTCAATCCTCAGCTCCAGCAGCAGTGTCTCGTGAGTACTCCTTCCCTGGATAAGAAGGTCCCGTGGCCCGTATCTGACGATGCTTCACATTCGCTGCCTCTGAATCTGCCACGCAGAATTCCTTCACGTTCGTCCTCCGTCGTCGCGAGTCCTGCTGTGGTCCCGGCTCGTCATTCGTCTATCCTTCATTCGCCGAGCAAAAGCCGGATCCACGCAATCTCGCAAGCAGGTCTGCCTCTCAGCGCCTCAGACCTCGCAGATACGATCGCATCTCTGACCCTTGCCGACCATCCCCTGCCGGCTCCAGCAAAGGCTCTCAACGAGGTTACACAATTCGGTCTTACAGCTGCTCCTGACGCCAACCGCGACGAGCTGGATGTCCGGACCCCGCAACCGCCTTCTGGTGCCTTTGCGCCTCCAATGCACTCGCCGCCCTCGCAAAGCATGTTGACGGCCACCTCGGCTGTCCTGTCTCCCGAGCTCGGCTTTCGTCGTTCGGACCTGTTGGAAATCGACGAAGAGATCGGCGACGCGCATGAAGCCATCCAGGTTGTTCAAGGACACATCTTCTCCATCCAAGAACAGCGTCACGGAGGCAAAGCCGGTACGATCGCGGGAGCGGCACTCGAGGTCTCAGCAAATGTATCAACAGCTCTTGAAAGCTCACCGTCTGCACCCACTATGGGTGGCACCGACCTTTCTCTCATGCAGCTCGACGAAAGACTGGAGGCTCTCTCACGGACCATGCAGCAGTTGGAGGTCCGCATCACTGAGATCCGAGAGCCTGGCAGCGGAGCAGACGAAGGAGCAGCAGGAGACACCTCCATCATTGACAAAGAAATGAGCGGCTGGCAGACACGCGCTCGTCGCAACAGTATAGGTAGCATCGATAGCCTGGGCAGCTACGACGATCTGGCGCTCCCGGATTTCGCGCCAGCCCTAACACCGCGAGCCTTGCGTGCAAAGTACGACGATCTCTGCTCCGAGTGGACGGCGGTGCAGGACGAAGTGGAAGCTCTGAGAAAGGAGCTCGCCGACGACAAGTATCTCGACGTCTTCCGATCCATCAGTACGCAAGCAGAGGGAATGATGGAGAGCCTCGACAAGGCCGTCTCATTGTGCAACTCTTTCGTACTGCAGGTGCAACGCGATCACTTGGCGGGAAAGCTTCAACGCGCAGCCACAGCCGACGACGATCTCCAAGTGGACTACGACATCCAGGCAAAGCACGACGAGCTCGCAGCTTTGACAAAGACGTTCGGTGTGAAAAGGTCTTACTACCAGCCTGCGTGCCAGCAAGTGCTACACAGCCTCGAGAAAGGATGTCAGGAGAGGCAAACTTCGAACGGCACAATGCTCCGTCGCCTCTCGGACCTGCGCTCGCGCTGGCGCAGCCTACGCGATGAGCTGACCAAGACAGATCGAGACCTGAAGCGCATGGAAGCGCTCTTTCGAAGGGTTCGCTCTGACAGCAGCGATTCCTCCATCGCCAACGACATTGCAAGTCCCGCGACATCAGTCGCGAGCCTTCCTGCGCTTCCATCGAAGCTTCGGACGAGCGCCTCGGTGCAGTCCGGACTTGGCAAAGGGACACCCTCTCGTGCTTCGGCACTGTCTCACCGCACTACACCATCGTCTTCGTCACGCATCGCAAGCGGTCCTAGCCGCCTGTCAAGCAGCTCCTCGATGAGTTCCAATCTGTCGAGCACGCCGCCCGCGGCCGCCACTCCACAGCGCTTGCGACGTATCTCTGCCACCGCAGAGTCGCTTGGAATGCACGGCAAGCCTGTCTCGACGCCGCCTCGGGCTCCAGTCGACCGGCAGCTTGAGGTACCGCGGCGGGCACACTTGGCTGGAGGCAGACCTGCAAGCCTCTCGGTGTCGCCGTCGGCGATCGACAGCCCTATCCGCAACCGTGCCACGTCGACGGCCAATGCAGCCACGGGAGCGGTGGAAAAGGGAGTTCTTGGTAGATCGCCGGCTGCAAGACCGGTCTCCATCGTAGGCAGTCGTGTCGCAGCAGCAAGCCCGGATGTGACTGGCACACCGAGCCGTGCTCCGCCGTCGAGCTTCAAGCCGTCCTGGCACGACCTCGCTACACCTGGACGGGGTGATCGAGCGAGGCCTACGCAGCCTCAGTCAATGCCGCGGTCGCAGTCGCAAGTCGTGTGGCCTTCGCGCTCGCAGTCTTCAGAAGCTACAAACGATGCGGACGCATCGATCGAGTATTTGAAATTCGGCGACAATGTGTCTTCAGTTCGTCCAACTTCATCCGCCGGTCAATACTATCGGCCCCCGTCCGCTCAGGGTACTGTTGGTGATGCGAAATCCAGGAAACGAGATTCGCTCATCCCACGCCTCACTGTTCGGAGCTCGGATGCCAGCAACACACCGAGCCGACCAGGATCGGCCATGTCTCAGGCGTCGTCATCGACGCCGATGCGGTACACGGGCGCGTCGAGGTTGAGCATGCAAACACCGGAACCAGCGATCGTGGCGAGAGCGCAGCGGCTCAACATGTATGCGCGTGCACCTTCGACGGGTATGGCGGGTACCCACACGCCTAGCAAACGGGCCAGCAAGCCGCCGCCTACGCGGCGAAGCGCAGCACTGTCATCGGGACGTGCGACGCCCCTTTCAGCCGCGGCGCTGGCTTCGTTGCCGACGGCGGACCCGAATTCGTCTCTGAAGCGGTCGAGCATCTCGAATCTGAAACCGTTGAATAGCGGTCGAACTACACCGACGTTCAGCGACAATGGGTCTGTGGGAGGCATGTCGACGGGAACATGGTACGGACCAGGTCGAGGTGTCAGGGGAGTCTCGGGTGCAGGGTCAAGGCTGGGGTCAGGGTCTGTTGCGGGAAGCAATTACGGTGCGACAGGCCCGATCGAGCAGTATCGAGCCAACCCGAACGACGCGCTGGATGTCGAGGTGGCGGCGATCTGCAACGGACTGGGAGTAGCTCTGGAACGGATTGATCCGCCGCTAGCTAGAGGCGTGAGACTGGAGGAAGGACCAGGCAAGGACAATCGGACTCAGTACGAAATCGGAGGACGAAAAACCATGTGTCGACTACTGGAACTGCATCGTCCAGCGGGCAGTGCTGGAGCCAGAGCTGGGACCAAAGCGAAGAAGATCCTGGTTCGTGTGGGGGGAGGATGGCAGGATTTGGAGCAGTGGCTACTGGCACGGCTCAGCGCGATCTAGTGGGTGTGATGCCAATACGCCGCCGCAATGCATCTCCATTCGTGAGATTGGGACGGATATCCGGAACATGGCAGGTTTGTGTGAGCGGCTGACTGTATGTGTTTGTCTGTGTGTGAATACACGTGGCTCTGATTGAAGTCGATCATACAAGTACAGATGGGACAAAGGGGGATGAGAGGGAACAATTGGAATGCCGGGGAGTAAGTCACGGAGGAGTGGGTTTCTACTCTGCGGGATCGGCAGCTTGTTGGTGGATCTTGAGCTGGTCGATCTGTTGTTGAAGAGAGTTGAGGTCGATCTTTTCGAATCGCCTCTCGCGCGGAGTGCCGGCAGGGAGGGGGAAGGTGGTGTCCGGATTGGGTGACACGGCAATGTATCTGCGTCGCGGCTTCTTGGAGGACGGGTGAGGGGTGGTGGTGAGTTCCTTGGCGTGGAAATGGGTGGGCGTTAGCTGTTTGATGGGCAGCTTGATGCCAGAAGGCGAGGTGGAAGCTGCGTGGACGGGACTTGGCGGGCTGGAGGGGGCTTCGGAATAGTAGTAGTGGACATAGCCTGGAGCAGTGGCAAAGATGGTGTGGTCTTTGCCAATGGCAACGTTGGGCCCTGGGTGCCACGAGGTGCCGCGCTGTCTGAAGATGATCTGGCCGGGGTAGACGATCTGGCCGGTCTGCTTCTTGTATCCGAGACGTTTACCGGGCGAGTTGCGGTTGTTCTTGGTGGAGCCGCCACCACGCTTGGTCGAGTTACGTGTTTGGATGGAGCCTCCGAATGCAAAAGCGGGGAGGACTGTGGATGATTGAGCGAAGCTGGAAGAGGCGATGGCGAGCGAAGCGGGTGCGTGTGATGTGGCAGCTCGAGCCGCTGCTGCGACGGCTGTTCGTCTGAGCAGCGATGTGGTACCGGTGAGCATGTTGACCAGAATTGCGGTGGTTGAGGGCGTGTTGTGAGCAACGGTGGTGATGGAAATGAGGGAGACCAAGTTGCACCGTCGGTCGTCAAATGAGGAAGTAAGCTCTCTCTTGCCGACCACTTCAAAATGTGAACCATCACGTGTTGAAAGCGCTGATACATGCTGACTAACGACGAGTCTTGGAGGCAAGCCGAGGGAACCAAAAAAAAAAGTTGAGAAATCAGAAGAAACTGAGCTCGTGTTGAGCTTCTTTTTGTTCTTCTTCGCACTCGCTGTCTCTGCCACGCTCGGAACGCGGCGGAAAGGATGTGAGAAAGGAGAATTCAGGCGAGCTTTTTGACAATTTGGGTCGCAGTTGAATAGCTGCTCTGCTAACACAGAGTGTGCGTGTGTGTGCTCAGCAAAACGATGTCGTTGCAATGCTCAAGTTTCTCTCCCAGCGGCTAACTCGATCCTTCTCCACACGCAGCATCTTCTTCGTCCCATCGCCATCAGCATCGAAATCCTCCGCGCCCTTACTGCTCAGCCTTCCTACGCTCTTCGCCTCCATCACTCGCATTCGGTCCTACTCGCCTCGATCGCTGTCCGTTGATAGACCACCTCCGTCGGACATTTCTCTCCTTCCAAGCTCCAGACACATCTCGCCAATATGGTCTGGCCTTTCTCTTCCAGCAAATCGGCGGATGCCTCCTCGTCGTCTGCACCATCGCAGCCTGCATTTGAAGCCGTCGCGCCTGCACCCGTAGACACCACTGTCAACAACAACAACAGCAGCCCAGCCTCGGACAGCCCTACCGACTATCTCCGCAGCCATGCTTTCCAGCAGCCCTCCTCTCCATCATCATCATCTACATCATCCACATCAACCTCTGGCGCTGAATACGTCCCCAACGCCGCCTCCCTCCTCGGCGATACATCGCTCAACCTCGGCGCGCTCTCGCCGCTCGCAGGCCTTGGTAAGGACGATCTCGAGTACCTCGACTTGACCGATGGTGCACCGTCGAGCATGGAGGGCGCACGAACCGCCGTCCCCTCCCGAGGTTGGTCCGACGATCTCTGCTACGGTACAGGCACCACCTACCTATCCGGCCTCGCCATCGGTGGTCTCCTCGGCGCAAGGGAAGGCTTCTTCCGTCCTCTTGGCGTCGACAACCCTACGTTCCGTCTGCGACTCAATGCCGTGCTCAACCAGGTCACCCGACGTGGCGCCTTCTTCGGCAACTCGGCAGGTGTCGTCGCTCTCATCTACAACCTCGTCGATGCCTCCATCGATGGCGTTCGAGGCAAGCACGACATTTACGGTGCCGTAGCCGCCGGTGGCTTGTCCGGCGCTCTCTTCAAGTGCACCGCTGGTGTGCGTCCCATGGCAGTTGCAAGCACCATCATGATGGGCGCCGCTGCCACATGGACCATGGCCAAGCAGTCTCTCCTCTAATCCGGCTCTGCCTCGCCTGGAATACCTTGCTTTTGCTGCGTGGCTTTCAACTGACGGTCGCAGATCCCTTCGACCCACATCCGACCACCCTTCTTCGGTTACGCTCCCACACCGCTCTTCTCGATAGACAATTAGTCTTTCTCAAAAGTCACATGCATGACTCAGCGCTTGTTCGCATTGTACACTACCTTGGGCCATCGCATATGCTCAGTTCCTCATCCCATCGCCCGACAGAAAACTGCAAGTGTTGAGAATAGTCAATGTGCGCATGGCGACAAAGTGCTTGTGCGCAGTAGGTGTCCGAGCGGATGAATTCGATTGACTCAAGTGATGATCTTGTCGATCAGAGTCTGCCAGAAAGCCGGATCAAAGTTTTGTGGTCCGGACCCTGAGACAAGCGACGAGTCCAGAGGTGGACCCTGTCCGTCAAGCGCAAGCATGTGCTGCTGCTGCTGCAACGTCGAGCCTTGGGCGTGGGCCCCGGTGACAGCTGCGTCTCCTGAAGCGACGAGATTCGAAGAATTGCCAAACGAAGGCGCTGCCATGGCACTTGGCCTATCTCGAGTCGCCTGGCCGTGCGGTGTTGCCGACACGGGATTGCTCTGTTGCTGCTGCCACATCCCATCGCTGTTGCTGTGGATCGATTGTGCATTCGAGATCAGATGAGCGAGCGAGTTCGACGAAGCCGTTGCCTGGTCCGCTGGTGCATAGCTAGGGGCGATCGGGCCAGCTTGCGACGTCCAGCCGCCTACAATTGCACTCGGCGCGAGATCACCTAGCGGCCTCGATTGAGGTCCGCTTGCACCGGACACGTTCGGAGCAAACCCACCAAGAGAGGCACCGCCGAGCCCATTGAAGCCTCCGCCAAGGCCTTGACCCATCGGCATGCCCGAAATGCCGGTGCCATTGCCTGTTGAGCCGAAGACGCCGCCCAGGCTGCCGAGCGAGTCGAGGCCCAAACTGACGCCTGCGGCGCCACCTCCCATGCTACTCGCTCCCTTGTACACCGCATCGTAGGATGGCATCGTGGCTGCTGCCCACTCAGCCTGATACCACGCGTCAAAGAATTGTTGCGCATCCTCGCCGCCGCCGTTGACAGCCGGAGCTGGAGCCAAAGACGATGTCGACGAAGTATCGGTAAGTGAGTCGCCTGTGTTGCGTGCCTTGGCCAGCACAGCGGGCAGCGAAGAGGTCGAGGGGCTGTCCGAGCGACTGACCGAAGAGCTTGCACCGCCGACGCCACTGCCAGGTCCACGCGGGCTGTGCGTCCAGTCGCCCGAGTCCTGACGCGACTTGTTTGCTGTGGCGTTGCCAAAGCTGCGAATGGACGAGGTTGAGGCCGAAGCTGGATCTTGGCGCGGTGATTCCGACTGGACCGAGGACTGCTGTGGCCGCCGCGGCTTTGCGGCTTCCGTGCCACTGTCCCCATCATTGTCCGACCTATTTGCACCTAGTCCCAGCAGGAGGTGAGCGTCGGATTTCTCGTCCCCACGCTGTGTAGCAGCATCTCGACCGCGCTTGGGCTGCTTGCCTTCGTTATCGCTCGCATCGAAACGACGTCCCTTATCTGTAGATCTGGATCGTTTCGCACCTCTTGCAGCAGCAGGACCTGACGTTGCGGCACCTTTCGAAGCCTCTCCCATTTTTTCTACCTGTTCAATTCTCGAGAGAAAGATGCCGATGACGTTGACTTCGCGATCACGCATCTCGTCCCTTTGGTTCGCCGGCCTTGATTGGTAATCCTTGACGTAGTGTGCGAGATGCGCCTTGAGTTTCGGCGCGTCGGATGCGCTGGGGTCCATGAGGAGAACCACGCCGACGACAAGCAGCGAGTGAAAGTACTTGTACGTGCCGATCTGGACGCGATAGAGGAGGAGTGGCTCGCCGCCGGTCTTGAATTTGTTGATGCTTTGCACAAAGTTGCTTCGCATCTCGAGGTCGTGTAGAGCGGCGTTGAGACTTGCTTCACGGCAGGGCAAGAACTTGGCACCGTTGGCGCCACCGGATCGAAGCAGGTAGGGTCGATGAAGCGCGATCCTAACCGAGTTGATCTCGGTGTGAAGAAGGAAACGATGTACGTTGAGAAAGCCGTAGATGGAGTCGAGCGACTTGTCGCACTCGACGCCATCTTTTGTGAGGCGGGCACGGAAGTAGAAAGGCAAATTATCCTGAAGCTCGCGGAGGTCCTTGTCAAGGGCAAGGACGTCGCTCACATGGACGGGCTGGTGGAGGTTTTGAAACGTTGCCAAAATGCGACCTTCGAGCTCGGCGATGCGCTGGCGGAAGACGGTGTAGCTGTATGCGGTGGGGGGGTCGACCCCCTCGGGCATCTTCGGCGGATGCTTTGGTGCTGGGAAGATGTCCTCATCCATGACCCCGCTAGGCACTTGCGTATCGCAGACGCGATCGTCGATGACAGCCGGACGGCCGGTGTTGAGGGCGAGCGCTCGATCGAGGAAATAGACTGCGGCCCAGACGCGTCTTCGAGCCTCGGTCTCGGCGGGTGAGAGCCCGAGTTTGGTGCCGTCACGGTGGAGACCAATGCTGAAAGCAGCACGTACTGCTGAGGATCCGAGGGTGTACGCTTCTCCGATGCGGCGGTCGAGCAAGAGAAAGCGGCAAGAAGCGAGCCAGGCAACGATCTGATCGACGTCTTCGCGACCCATGATGGAGCTCATAAGCAGAGCTCTGCGACCTGCGTAGTGGTAGCGTCTGGCAGCCTTAAGCCGATCACGAGGGCCCTCTGGGAAGAGTTGGTGCTGTACCGAAAGCATGGCAATGGCGCACACGTTGCAGAGAAGCGCAAAGATGTTGATGTTTTGGGCGTTGATGTTAGGACCGGAGTTCCAGAAAGCTTCAAACGACTTGCGCAGGCTCTGCTGTGGAAGTGGCTGACGCATCCAGTTGATGTCGTTGAAGAAATGGTCGATGAGAATCCTACAGTGAGCACGAGTGCTGAATGCACCTAGCAGATCGGGACTGGGAGCTGTAGGGCAGCCGTACTCGGGCATGACAACATCGAGGTCCGAGGGTCCCTCGAGTGTCCGAATGGGTAGATTGAGCGGCGTCGACTTGGTGGAACTGCCAGGAAGATCGTCGAGGATGGAGCTGATACGCATGTCCATGGATCCACCATTGTAGAAGCCAGTCTTGGGACTGTAGCGTCCGTCCTTCTCGAGCTCGTCGATATCGTCGTCGTCGGGCTCATTAGGCCGATTCGGTACAGTTTCGGGAGATTTTGTCAGGCTCGCATCAGACCATAGGGCTTTCGACGACGAAGGGCTGATGCGGGCGGTGCGGCTTTGCGAAGCCTGTTGGGAAACTGGAGAGGCGGTAGTAGAAGCGAGATGCTGCACCTGCTGCGCAAGCCGAGGCAGATAGTCTTCGAGGATGCGCTCGACGCGGTGGAGCCTCGAAGCGACATCGTTAGTCTCTTCGCCCGGCTGGAAGGTCTTGCATCGCTCCGGGATCTTTCGGGCTATGCAGTGCTGGCATGGTGTTTCGCGATTGCACTTTTGCTTGCGACGATAGCATTCGGTGCATGCAAAGTGGACACGGTTGCGCTTTCCAGTGCCCCGTGTGAGGCTCTTCGGGTCGTCCGAAGGCGAGTCATTGTGCTGAGCTTCGGGTGTGTTGGCCGCATTGGAAGATTGGCCCTCGCTGAGACGCGAGTTGGCGTCTTCAAAGTGTGGACGACTGTTCTTCATTGAGCGACGGCTTGATTGCCGATTTGAGGCCTTTGCTGTTAGGAATCAGCTGGGGCAGCGGCGAAACATGATCTGTGCTGTTATGGTGCGCGATGCAAGGTGGGTAGCGAGAAGATGCTGACAAACGACTCGATGAAGCAAAGACCAAAATCGTCGTCGGGAAGAGAAAGAGAGAAAGCGGCAGAGGGAGATTCGGCAATGCTTTTTGCTGTGCCTGAAGCTCAGAGACTATTCTGACGCAAAGCCGGCTGCACTCTGTACGGACAATTCCGCTGTTTGCTCTTTTTTTCGAAAACGGCTTTTCCGGGCTCGTGCTGACTGCCGTGCTTGTTGCACCCACCAAGTTAGCGCTTCTCACCAGAGGTAGGACCGGGGCGTCTGAGGCAGGGTCCACACTGATTTTTTGGAAGGAAAGCTCAAGATCGGATTTCGGAAATGCCGCTCAGCTGCATGTGATGGCATATGCTGAGCCACCTTCTTGCCTCTACCGTCACCTCGCTCGCCGACACCACACAAGATACGCCGCCAACAAGAAGATCACAATGTCCAAGTGAGTGTGCAAAACCGTTCATCGTTGATCTTCGAATCCTTCTTGCTTCCCGGGTGTCGAAGCAGCCACTAACTCCGTTGTTCAATTCTTCTCTTTGCGGTGCCATCAGACATCATCCGGATCTTATCCTCTGCCGCAAGCTCCCAGGCATCGCCATCGGCAGGCTTTGCGAGAAGGACGATGGCAAATGGTAAGTCTCACGCCTTTGATTGAATCAAATCGCCGTTTGAAGTCGACACTGACGTCGTGCCCTCGCCTTGCACTCTTCCGCGTTGCTTTCTCGCGCCAACAGTCCCATTTGCGATTCATACGTCCGCCCCGCAACATTGGTGCGCATCTGCGAAGAGTGCAACTTCGGCTCCTCCGGCGGCAAATGCATCATCTGTGGAGGGCAGGGCGTATCAGACGCATACTACTGCGCCGAATGCACACGGCTCGAAAAGGATCGTGACGGCTGTCCCAAGGTGGTGAATCTCGGCGCAAGCCGAACCGACCTGGCCTACCTACGCAAAGCACGCAACCAACAGCAACAGTAAGTCTCACGCTCGATCAACCAATAGGGGAAAGAACAGCTTGCTGACCTTCCGACTGACCTTGTCAACAACGACTCCTCAATCACCGCAGATTCCAAAGAGGCTAGCTCTCCGCTTCAATACCTTCGCATCCTTATCTCATCTGTACTTGTACTTAACTTAGCAATCTCAGCCAGCACCATCGCAACACTTTGTCGACAATCGATACAACTTCTCCAGGTACAAGCATGCCATCACAGTGCAATCCGGTCTCGAACCTCGACCCGTTCATCGACCGTCGGATCGACTACAACTCGGCAAAGAAGAAATCGGTGGTCGATGGCAGCGGCGGCGGCTGAACGCTAGTGGGCAGCTCGATCTGTTCGCCTGTCAAGTCGAGCAGCTTGACCTTGATACCGATCTCGGTCAGCGTCTCGATCAGATTGGCCGTCTCGCGCGTGCTGACCACGCCGTCTTCGCCACGCAGCATGTTCAGTCCGTCGGTCCACTCCGAGAATTGGCTTGGATTGAGCGCTTGCATCTCGGCTAGGCTTTTGTCGGGCGACTGCAGCAAGCTGATGACCAGATCGCTTCCATGCGACTTTCCGCCGGTCTCGCCAGCGCTGCTGTGGTGCGAAAGCTCGGTGACCAGGCTTAGGTCGATCCGTTCCGGCAGATCATCCAATCCGCCTCGAATCGGGAAGCGCTCCGACGAGTCGCAGTAGTAAAGCAACTTCTTGTTCGGCGCCAGCCGGTAGAATCGCCATGGCTTGTATACTGCAGAAGCACCTTTGCCAGCTGCATCGCGACCCACAGCCGCAGGCACAGCTGTATCGACGGTGCTTGTCGATTCTCTCCGCTGCCTGCCTCCGCTCGCAAGAACACCGCCAGAGGAACCGGACACGTTGCGAAACCACGCACCTTCGAGCAAGCAATGGATGCGCTGTTGTCGCACAAATTCGTAGCTCTCGCGATAGATCCTGCCGCGCAGATTGCGGATGGATGCTTTCGAGTTGTAGTCTTGGTCCACCTCGAGCTCCTTCATCTGCCTATCGCGCACAGTGCGATATTCGGAGTGCAGAAAGGCGCTTTCGAGTTCGAGCCAGGTTCGGCTCGTCTCCTCCTGCTTGCCCAACACCTCACTGACTTGGCTTCGCACCAGCGCCGATACGCGTGGGAAGTCGGTTGCAGCCGCACCAGACTCATTCCACATGCGCAAAAAGAAGCGCAGAACCAGATGGTGGACTTTGTCGAACGAGAGCAAGAAAGGCAGATATGTTGTTGAGTTGGTGAACGACCCCGATTCAATGTTCCAATGGTCAGCAAGGATGGAAGTCACCTCGATCGAGGCCTGCGCAAACATGCAACGTCGCTCTTCGGGACGGTTAAGCTGCTCTTGAATCATCTTGGCGTATGCATCTGGATCGGAACGAACAAACGCCTCGAGACAAGAAAGGCCGAGCCAACCGGTGCGGCCAAACTGCTTCGCGGCCGATTCGGAGGCGAAACCGATGCGCCGCCATTTGTATCTGGTCGTTGCTCCAATCGATTGTCTGTGCTCGCCGCTGAAAGCCTCGTTCTGGTGCGCGGCTGGATTGGCAACAACGACGTCGCTGATCCTGGCTTGAAGCCAGATGTACGACAGGGCATGGACGTGACGCTTGTCGGTGGGGGTCACGACGGTGCGCATGCGGCGATGAGCTGCTCTGACGACGTTGCTCTGGTACTCGAGTATGGACGAGTTGAGCTCGTCTCCTCGGCTCGAGTCCATGAGCCACGCCACAGCTTTGGACGCATTGAGCTTTTCGAGCTCCGAGGTGAAGCTTTCAAACAGGTCGTCCGAAACATTGCGCAACAGGCTGTTAATGAGACTGAGGCTGTAGAGTTTGAGCGTGGTGTCCGAGCTTCCGATGCGATTGACGAGCGTCTGAAGGAAGAGGCGCTCGCGCTGAAATTCGTTGTAGACGAATTCGAAGCCGTAGCGATACACTGCCGGTGCCGATGTGGTGGCAGCCCCGTGACCGTCAGTGACGACTCTGCCTGTCTTTGGCGAATCTTGCGGACCGGAGACGACGAGCTTTTTCAGGATCGCGGTGGCAGGTCGGCAAACATTGATGCGCTCTTGACTAACTAGCAGAGACACGACCTTTGCTACGAACGCGGCGTCGATAATCTCCCATCCATACTCGAAGCCTTCCATGAGGTTCTGACAGCTGGTGAGTGCGTACGCTAGGGTGTTGCCGGACGAATGGCCGCGGATGACGTTCAGGAGCTCTTTGACGCCTCCGCGCGTGATGAACTCGTCCGTGAAAGGTGTCTCACGGATGAGCCTCTGGAGCGTGTAAGTCGCCATCTTGAGCGTTCTGTCGTCGTGAGAGCCGAGCTTGTCGACCATCTCGACCGCCTCGATTGTTGGAGATGAGCACAGCTTGAAATTGGCGCCGACTTCAATCTTTTTGGCCATGTTGGCATCGTCGACAAGCTCGTCATTGTCGTCGTCTCTGAGAGCAAACAGGGCGGGTGGTTCTTGTACGCCGAGATGAGCATTGGCACATAGTTGTCGAATGACATCCTGCACGGGTAGACTGGGGTCGATGAGCGCTTTGATGGTGGATTGACCATAGGTGACAAGATTGATCCGATTGGTGACCTGGGGTGTTGCAGTGTCGATGTAGCTGTGCTGTGATGTCGGCGAGGCCAGGTTCGCCAGTCCACTCCTGCTGGGACCAGGATCTGCCCCGGACATTGTTGTTGTGGTGGTCGTGTCTGTGGATGGATGAGTCAATCTTTGTAAGACTCGGCCTGCGGGTCCCGATTGCGGATCGACAGATGAGCACAAAGAGAGAATGTCGAGAGAGGTCACGGCGAGGCGGAGCGTATTGATCAGGTGGAAGTGTTGGAGCAGGCAGTAACGAGAGTGTGGTCCATGCAGCTGACGCATTCCAACGCTGCGATGCAGCAAAGCAGTGAAGCCACCGGCTTAGTCGGAGGAGGGCGTAATTTTGGGCGTAAAATTCCACGAGGGGCGTTCTTCGGTCTCACCACTGCACGCTTGCAAATCGCCCTCCTGACACCGGCACAAGCACGCATGACAGGAGTCCAGCCCAGTTGGCGACGTACCCCGCAAAGACGATCTTTTGTGAGCAACAGATGATAGAGATGGCAGGATGAAGGGCATTATGACATGAGACGGGCTGAATAGATTTCAAGATGATGACATTCGGGACGGCCCTTGCTGCTGCTGCTGCTGCTGCTGCTGCTGTTTGGCCCTCTGATGAGCGAGGATTTTGGAAGGCCATCCACGCCTCTTCCCGCTTTGCTTTGCACGACCTGAGAACTTGGCGACGTGGATTGGCGGCGACGTGATGCCGAGCTCACGACGCATGTCGTCAATATTCCTCTCCCAGCACCTCTCCCACTCGATCGAGATGAGCGGCACGGAGTACCTCCCAACCTCGATGGCCCAAGGAACCAGCGTCTGAAGGGATGAGAGATCAGCTGCAGATGGCATGCCGTGCGCTGCTTCCGATGGCGGCGACTGATTGAGGGCTTTGGATATGAGCTGGGACGGCTTCGGCAGCGATGCGAGATTGGACGCGAGGATGCGGAGCGTGCCACCAGCGGCTGCAAAGCCAGCCACGGGCATGTTCATCTGAGCCATCTCAAAGTACTTGACCACCGTCTCTCCGAGCTGTGTGACGGGCATGCGAAGCAGCAGGTGGTAGAAGTCGTGCGATTCGCGGTAGCGTTGGATGAGGTACTTGTGCTCTGGAGTTGTCATGTAGTCGGCCTCAGCGCGGCCGTCGGGACCGACACCATTCTCTTTAAGCCACTCGATCCACTCGCGTCCGAATGTACCACGCTCGAGAGCGGCAAGATATTCAACATCGACCGTGTCCGAATTGACGGAAGGGCGTTCTATGAGCAGTCTGCGTCCAGATTCCGTCGAGCGCATGGATTCGAGCAGATGGGCGAGCGAGGGACCCGATGATACTTGCGTGAGCATTGAGAGTAGATCTGACCAATAGAACGGCACAAGGTATAGCATTAGCAACATCGTCGGTAGATCGTACGCGAGCAATGATGAGAGGTAACTTACCTCCGCGCGAGGGGTTATTGAGCAGACCGAGCGCGCTGCCCGCTGTGAGGAGGGCGCGACCTAGAGCGGAGGTGGGGATGTGCTCAACCTCATCGATGCGTACAGCCTTGCTAGTCTGATCAGACCCGTTGCGCGATCTGCGGGTCTCAGTGGGAGAGTGTGTGCTGAAGCTGCGCAAAGAGCGAGGTGAGCCTCGACAGACTTGTGCGGTTGCAAGAGATGGCAGTTTCACCATCGAAGTACTGGCGCTTCGGCTCTTGAGCCCGACGCGGACGAGCTGCTCCGCCGAGCCGAGCATCGTCGCCACCACTAACGAGTCGAGCGGATATTCCGATCAAGGAAGTGTGCCGCTCGCGGAGGCAGTCAGGACGAGGAGGTGGCGTGAGAATGCGAAGGTCCACAGCCGGAAAGTCGAGAAAGGAGATCTCTGGAATTGCCGATGAGGAAATTGCTCCACCTTTTCGAGGTACCAAAAAGTGATTTACTCGACGCGCCGTGTGTTGCTTTCATCAGACGAGAGCAACACGGTCTTCTGTGCCGTGCGATGGAAACTCAGCCTGGCTTCTTGTCGTTCTTCCAGCCTCATCTCGATCAGCTCATATGCCATCGCCTATATGCTACCGACGCATTCCAGGCCACTCACAGATCATGGCATCGATCTAAGAGAAGCTTGCGGTAACAACGTCCAACCCGAGGTATTGATTCGCAGCCATGCACGACTCCCTCTTCGTCACAGCTTTGGCGATTGTTGGGCTCGGGTGGTACGGCGCCATTTGGTCCATCTGTCTCTTGGGTCTTAGCTTGTCTCGCCAGTTCGCACGTTCAGAGGCTCCGCGATCCCCACTCTCACCACCTCGCTCCTCGACCATCCTCACCAATCAGTCGCAAGATTCGAGCAGTCTCGATTCGATCCTCCATCGACAGCAGCTGCATCACGAACAGCACGCAGAATCTGTCCCTGGCGTTTCGATCCTCCGCCCTCTGAGCGGTCTCGACAGCAACCTCTTCTCGAACCTCTCCTCCTCTTTCACTCAGGACTACCCTAGCTCGCGCTATGAGGTCATCCTCTCTATCCGAGATACTCGCTCACCGGAGACCCAAAAAGTGCTCAACGTCGCTCGAATGGTGGTTGCTGCCCACCCCACTATCGATGCGCGCATCATTGTTGGCGAACAGATTGCAGGTGTGAATCCTAAAATCAACAACCTCGTCCGCTCCTACGCTGCTTCCAAGTACGATATCGTCTGGGTCGTCGACAGCCAGGTATGGTCCCCGTCTGGAGCGCTGGCACGGGCCGTCGACAGCCTCTGCGCTGATCCACTCACCAGGCCCCGTCCTTCTCCCAGCTGGTTGTCCCGCGATCCTCATGGCGGTCGTGTCGGACTTGTGCACCACGTCCCCTTCGCTGTACTTCCCAGCACCTCGTGGGGGTCCAGGATCGAACGCGTATTCCTCTCCACCACACACGCAAAGATGTACCTCGCGCTCAACGCCCTGTCCATCGATTCGTGCGTCATGGGTAAGAGCAACATGTACCGTAAATCCGACCTCGCTGCCGTGTCCGACTCGTTCTTCAACGTTTCGAACCACGGCAGTCAGGGCGAAGATGGTGCTATCGGCAGCTTTGCCTTTTCGCACCAACCTCAGCTCCCCTCTCGATCCGCCGGAAGCGGGTCTGCTTCACCTTCTCTGCAGGGGTCCAATCCCAACACTAGCCAAGAAGAGCTATCCAACGATCAAGTCAAGTCGCTCTCGCGTCCGTTGGCACGCTTCTCCATCTACCTGGCCGAAGACAATATGCTCGCACAGTCACTCTGGGATCCACCGCTCGGCCTGTCGCACACCTTGTCCTCGTCCGATCTCGCCTACACTTCCGTCGGCGACATCCGCACGTTGGCCGACTACACGAGTCGGCGCATGCGCTGGATCCGAGTTCGCAAATACATGTGGCTCGCACCAACCCTGCTCGAGCCATTTACCGAATCTATCATCTCGGCTTTTGTCGGCTGGTTCGCGCTCTCAACACTCATATTTCCCGTCCTCTTCACCTCCACACAATCGCTGTCGGTATGGAGCCTACTGCTCTTCCTGGTCGTTCATTTCGGCGCATGGTTCGCCGTCGATTACGCCGTCTTCCAGCGCTTGTCGGTGGCGCACGAGTTCCTGGCGTGCAATCCAGGCGTAGATCACGCCGACAGCATGAGCGTCGTCGAGTTTGCCGCGGCTTGGGTGATGCGCGAGGCGTTGGCGCTTCCCATCTGGGCGTGGGCAATCCTCGGAAGCACGGTTTCGTGGCGCAACAAGACATTCCGCATCCTCAAAGGCGGCCGCGCTGCCGTGGTCTCGAGCTCTCCCGGAGCACACAGAATGACTTCGAGACGGTCCAAGTACAACGATGTACACGATGAGGATCTGGATCCCCTTTTACATTCAAACGGCTAGCTAGCACGCATGCATACGCGGTGCAGCCATGAATTCCAAGATACAGATACAGTTTCAGACGAGGTAGCGCGCACGAAAACATCAATTGCAGTCACGGGTTTTTCGAAAACGTGATCGTATTCTCACCTTTTCTATTGCAATTGGCCCTCTGTGATGAGTGAAGGATGGTGTACAGCTCACTGCGACGGAGAAGAGAGTACCTTTTCGAGCGTGTCGCACTGTTCGAGCACGGCGCGCTTCGAAGTGCCGCCTTTGGCGTCGCGACGCTCGACGCTCTGCTCAAAGGACCAGACCTGCATGACGTCGTCGTCGAACTTGTCCGACAGCGTTCGCAGATCTTGGAGCGTGAGTTGCGAAAGCAGGCAACCTTTCTGCTCAGACAGACGCACTGCGCTGCCAGAGATGTGATGCGTCTCACGGAAGGGGATGCCCTTTCGGACGAGGTATTCTGCCAGATCGGTAGCGAGCATGTCTGGCGTCAAGGCCGACTTCATCTTTTCGGGGAAGATGTTGAGCGTGGAGAGCACACCAGTGGCGATCTGGATGCCATTCTTGGTGGTGTCGACGGCGTCAAAGAGCGGTTCCTTGTCTTCCTGCAGATCCTTGTTGTAGGTGGACGGGATGCCTTTGAGCGACATCATGAAGCCGGACATCTGACCAAAGATGCGACCCGCCTTGCCTCGAAGGAGCTCCAAGCTGTCCGGATTCTTCTTTTGGGGCATGATGGATGAGCCGGTGCTGTAGGCGTCGCTCAGCTGCATGAAGCCGAATTCGGAGGTCGAGTAGATGATAAAGTCTTCGGCCATCTTGCTGAGGTGGATCGAGGTCAAGCTGGCCCACATGAGGTATTCGACGACAAAGTCACGGTCTGAGACGCTGTTCATCGAGTTGGGGCCCACCGTCTGGAAGCCCAGGTCGGCAGCAATGGCGTCGCGGTCGAGGCCGGCAAAGGGATTGCCAGCCAAAGGACCCGAGCCGAGAGGAAGTACCGAGATTCGAGGCATGAGGTCTCGTAGACGGGCAAGGTCGGATGCAAAGTAGGTGGCGTGCGAGAGGAGGAGGTGCGACCATCGGATGGGCTGAGCGCGCTGAAGGTGGGTGTATCCAGGCATGAGAGCATCGACCTCTTGCCTTGCGCGAGCGATCATGACCTGGATCAAGTCTTTGAGGTGGCCCTCGATGGCCTTGACCTCGTCGATGAGCCACAGACGCATGTCAGTTGCGACCTGGTCGTTCCTGGACCTGCCAGTGTGCAGCTTGCCGCCGACGCTGCCGATGAGCTCGGTGAGACGACGCTCGTTGGCGGTGTGGATGTCTTCGTCGTCGGAGTGGATCTCGAAGGTGCCGTCCTTCCACTCCTGACCGACCTTGTCGAGACCTGCGACAATCTGGTCCTTTTCCTGCTCATTAAGCACGCCGGTCTTTACGAGAGCGCGTGCGTAGGCTTGCGAACCTCGGATGTCCTGGGCATGCATGCGCTTGTCGTAAGAGAGCGACTCGTTGTAGGCAAAGAGGAGCGGGTCGTTGTTGCCGGTGAAGCGGCCGCCCCACAGCTTTCGCTTGGTGAAATCGTCTGATGTTGATGCCATTGTTGCGTGGAGGTGATGGTGGCTAGGATAGATGTGGTGAGAGCGAAATCAAGTCAATCAGCACGAGGCATGGTCAATGCGAGGAACGCATCGAACGCAAACCCAGAACGTTATCAGGTTTATGACTCCTTTTTATTCTTTTTTTGCTTTCTTCTTCTTTTTCGAAAATCCTATTCGCACGGCAAAAACACCTTTGTTAGACTTTCCTCCTCGTACATTGTTCATCGTTACGGTTAGCTGGGCCGCGCCGAGTGCTGTCTGCCCTGATCCTACGTTACCTGCACCTCTTTGTACGTGATCCGCATTCTGGTGAGCGGAACTTGATCGATCATTGTTCCCTTGGTTGATGAGTGCACACGTGAAACGACTAGTTGCAGCATGCACGAGAGCTACGAAACCATTGATGCGACTGGGCCCAAACAGGTCGCTAGACGCGAGCTGCAGACATCCGAATGAGGAAATCCGGCCGGTGTTACGACAGACGCAAGACATTCTGCCACAGATCAAGACTGACGATAGGCTCAGGAGCTCGCTGTAGCTTGGGCTTCTCATCATTCCGTATTTCACCAAGCCCTTCGGTTGAAGGTGACCCGTGTTGAAGCAATGGCTCGACATCCAACGTCGATGGCATGACCGTCGGAGTTGGAAAGAGGGGCGTCAAAGACGCACGTCCATTGTGGACGATGCGCTTCGGCGCCGTCGAGCTGCAGCAAGGCTGTTCAGTCCGGCTAGGTCAGACATAGGTGCTACACGATAACGTCCACACAGTGCGCGTTGGTTGAGAGAATCGCTTGAAGGAAGAGAAGCAGCGAATGGCGATTCAACTAGCAATCTGCCAGCTCGGCAATGCGTTGCCGAAAGCGACGGCAACCGATTTGTTTGTTGATGGCCTGCTGGACCGAACGAGGCTAGACTGGCTCAAATCCATCGAATGATACCTGGTCCGAGTGTCAAGCGTGCCTTGCAACACTCCGAGTCTGTCATGAACCCTAGTCTGCTGCAGTTGGGCGCTCTGAGTTCCGCAGACTCGACAGAAAAGGGCGTTGCGGATTATGGCCCGCTTGCTCATGCACACGTCGGAGTCTGAATATAAAGCTCGCTTGCGTTAAGAGATCAAACGCAATCGCGAGTAGTTACAGTTGGACAGTGCTCTCTCCATCAAGATGGGCTACCGCAGTTGGACGTTGGACTCATTCTCACAGAGTTCGATGACAAAAAATCATAGAAGCAAGAGATCAAAAGTTCAGAGTGGGCTGCTGAAGGCTGCTCTTTCGTAGACTAAGTAAGTCAAAGCTTTGGCCTTCCGCATCGGACTTGCTACGTTGACATACGCACTAGCAGGGCGGAGACGAGCTCGCACGGCGAAAGGGCCAACTGCCAAACGCCGTTGTTCACGACGCTAGAATGTGACACTGGTCGGGAGTCACCGCCCCCACATTCGGCCTTGAATCGCCCTGACAAACTCTAGAGTAGCTCATCGCGGACCTTGTCATCCGTGCTTGTTGACAAGAACCCCCCACAACGAGCTTCCAACAGGGGTCACGGATTCGAGATGTACCTCAACTTCTGCGATTGTCAAGGCGACAGAAGTGAGAGTGAACGATGAGAAAAATTTCCATGCAATTCGCTTAGCGATGATCGTCGAGAGGGTGCAGTATGGGAAAAGACGACGAGCAGGGCAGAGGCAGAGTGTCGTTCAGAGGACAGACGCCCGTCGCCGATCATGTCTTAGATCAAATTGTTCCAAGAACCCTCGTTCTTGTTCCGAGGGACCCTTCGGCCTCGCTTACACAAGTACGAGCGAACGCCCTTGGCCAGAATTCGTTCTTCCGCCATCCCGCGCTTCGTTTCCGCTCCCTCGCTCGCTTAAGCAAAGCCAGAAGGATTCGCAGCAAGCCTTCTTGGCACCACGTCTGTCTCTGAGTCTGTCTCACTGTTGCTCTGCCTTGATGATGGTCACCTTTGTGGTTCCAATGCAAGCCCAACCCACCGTGCTACTACCGCCTCCATCAACCCTCATCGGCGTCCCTGCGTCTTCATTCGTCTGGTTGCCAGCTCGTCATCTTGTGTGTACGCTTCGTGCACCGCTAAGTTGCTGCACGATCCCGTTCCATCGTGTAAAACACCGAAGCCGAGTTCTTTGATTCTGCGCCGCGTCCGTGTTATCCACCGCTATCTCAAGCACGACCGGCAGTGCCCGGCGACGCTCGATCCTTGCCTTCCGGGATGCAGACTGCTCTGTTTGCTTTGCTTCAACGTTTGAGATATACTGGAGCAGAGCATCGCTGCGGACAGCAGAATCCTTTTTGCGATCAGGCCATGCACTGCGGTTGTCTTCGACTGCAAAACAGACGAGTGCTGTACGTTTAGCTAGTCAGTCTCGAAGCATTGGTCTCGCAGCAGTCTTCAATTCTGCACATGTGGCCACAATGCTAGCCGCCTGTCGATTGTCCCGTCTTGCCGCCTGCCTGTTCCTATATGGTGCACCACAGTCGCTCCTTTTCTTCAGACTCCCATCACCATCAACCCAAACGCGCCTTCCTTGAGCCATCCCTCAATGGTGCTTGGGAGCTTTCGGAGCCTCCACACTCAATCGCGCCCGTTACACTCCTCGCTCCGGTAGCATCAGGCTCCTGCATCCCTCCCAGGCGTGACACCGCCGCTTCTGCTTAGCTGTATCCGACTCTCTCTCACTTCACCGGCTCTTTCTACTTACAGTATACCCTCGGTTCAGCGTTCAAACTCGTGCTTCATCTTCTGCTGTTTTTTCTTGCAAGCGTTCAAAAGATCTGCGTCCGTCTACACAGTCACAACCCACCTGCTGTCAGTCCCACCGGTGTCAGCCTGTCTAGTCCTTTTTACCCCACATAGCCATCACCTTCATTTTGGCATCACTGTTGCTCATCCGCACGCTTGCGTCTCCAGCTCACTCCTCAGCGGCAGCATCCTTCAAGCCCCCGAGGGCGACCACTCGTCTCGTCGGGTCACTGGTCCCCCTCCACTTGCTTCATCCCTTGGGCCCTCCAAGATATCCGGCGACGGTCCGCGAGTGCAGCACGCGTCCCTTCGACTTGCCAATCGGCATGTGCTAGCCCCACGGTAGATCTCGAGCAGCACTCTAGCATCTCGAATTCACCTTCGACTGCACCCAACATCGGCTCTACGCTACGTCACCCTAATTCCAGCTGCGCTGCGCCCGTTCTCACTGGCAGCCAGCAATAAGAGCCATGCCGGGCCAAGATGTTCTCGAAACGAACGCCACGTCGGCCGACTCGGAATGCCGACCGGGAGGCTCAGCGCTTTTGAACGACTTGGACCGCGATCTTGTTCGCCATAAGGTGCTTTCATTGCGTCAAAAGAGGCAAGCCGAAATCTCCCACGCGGTGAGCCACACCTTCGACGGACCTGGTGCTAGAAACAGCGATCGTCTGACTTGGATCGGGGTCGACGAAGATGTCGAGCACCTAGCGCCGCCGTCTTCCTCCTCAAGACTCGCTTCCTCCGACGCGTCTCGCAGCGGCAGCGACGACGACGACGATGCGGACAGCACCATTCTTGGCCATTACATTCAAGCACTTCCCCACCCGCCGCAGAAGCTTGTCCATCTCGACCAACTCCAGAGACGTCCGCGGCCCTCCTTCGCATCCGAAGAGACGTGCAGCAGTTCGCACGAATCCAGCTCGCACGCCAGCTGCCGCCTGGATGACGATGTCGATGTTTTCAGTCAGCACACCACCGAGACCACCGACAATTCATCCAGTCCGTCGTCTCGCCGCGCCTCCAGCACAAGAGCTAGCATCGCTTCGCGGCGACTTTCGCAACAATCCACATCCGTGGATCTCGCCCGGCCCGCCTCTCTTGCTCAAGCTCTGTCAAGCCCTATTGGGCCGCCTCCCAATATGCCACTGCCACCCAAGCCATTATCCAAGACACTTACGCGTGCTCTGGCAGACAAGCACAAGTCTCGCAGGTCCAGTCGTGCGTCCGCCTCGTCAGCTGGATCGCCTCGATCCGCTGCAAGTGGCCCGTCCAGCTGGAAAATGGCAGAGACGAGGCCGGTTTCATCTCGCCTGAGACAGATTCCAGGCGACCGCAACGACGCCCCGCATGTCTCTGACGAGGAGATGGACGGCCTCCGCGACACCTCCAATCATTTCCCTACCCCTGCGACCTCATACCCGCCTCTTTCGTCAGAGCTGACGACCGCGCCTCGGGACGCTAAGCCGATGCTACGCTTCTCGCCTCGCTCTATCTCCGGGCCATCACGAGCCACGAGCCCGACGGCGGACGGTGTGATGTACACGTCGTCCGGTGCGTCACATGTTCGCGATGACCACGTCAAATCTGCAGAAGGCGGAGGCAGCAGCGACAGTGCGCTCTCACAGGTCCTAGATCTGACCGAGAGTAGAGGCGTTCTTGCCATTGGCGAGCGAATACAGCAAGCCTCTTCAGGCTCACAGACTGGCGTCTTTCAAATCGGTCTCGGTGCTCGCACGTTGTTCCCTCACAAATCCAATCGGCAACGTCGATCTACCCCGAATGGGCCTTCACATAATCCAGGGCGGAAGTCGTCCATGCACGACGTTCCACACGATCCGGTCCAGACTTATTCCAAACAGCATTCGGTTCAGAGGAGGAATCATCAGCGAAGCGACACCATGTCCAAGAGCATGAGCGAACTCATGCTTGCTCTCGACCTTGAAGCAGACGAATGGAGAAATGGCGTAGGCATGACGGCTAGCGTCGACCTCCACCCCCAGCCGCAGGTCGCAGCAGCTCAGGTTTCGAGATCACACGTCGAGGCTGGCGAAAGTAGCGCTACTGTGCCCGGCCCAGCAAAGAGCGACAGCAACACGAAAGCAGAGTTGCCCGAGTCAGATTCCTTGCCATCACTCAGCTCATCTGTATCGCAAGAGCTCTCGCTTGATGATTCACGTGGCCCTCCCTCGGCTGAAACCTCGTTCATTCATCCTAGGTCATCAAAAATTTCGGCTTCGTTCAGGGTCGTCGCTGACAATGCAGACGACCATGGCGTCAGTGCCGACCCTGTAGCCCTTTACGACTCTTGTCGGCTATCTGACGGCACGATGGCTTCGCATTTCACAGCGCCTGCCCTTCGTATCGAAGATCCAGAAGGCGACGAGGTCGCAGACTCGGAGCTCGAGGGCGACCGTTCCTCAGATGAGATTCCCAGGAAACGCAGCAAACCCAGTCGTAAGAAGAGCCTCGGCTTCGAAGATCAGCGAGCAACCTTGCGACCGCGATCATCTTTATCGCATCACTCCGCCTCTCTCACATCTAGGCCGAGTCAGGCCTTCCGATCCACGCTTGTCACTACCGAGGAAGAGACTGGGTCAACGTCATTAGACAGCGCTTCGCTCATCCGTGCAGGAGGGGACGAAGATCCCTATGCCTTTTACGAGTTCTCGCCTAGCTTGCCACCGTTCATGCCAACCGGTGTGTCGCCGCGTGATCTCACCGGCACAGGTACATGGTCGAGCATCGTTGCTCGCGCTTCGGACAGCCTGTGTCGCCAGCCATCGATCGCTTCTGTACGGTCTCTCGCCACAGCAGAGTCTGGACCCGTGTCTCTGCGAGAGATTCGCGCCACTGCACAGGCCAAGCAAAGACACGCGGACGCTGCTCATCGCGCGCGTGAACATATGTCCGACCACATTGCGACCATGAGCTACCGACCCTTCGCCATTCACGACCACGCAGCTTCGTTGGCGAAGGAAGTCGACATGTGGAATGCTCATCGAGCCTCTGCCTCGTCCGCCTCCGCTGTCGGTAGTCCCGAAGAAGGTGGCCGTTCAGGTCGAAGCTCGTCGATGAGTAGCGTCTTCGCTGCGTCGATTGCCCCGAGCGTTGGCGATTATGGTACACGATGGCCTGTAGCTATTGGAGCTGATCAGGGGGTAGGTCCCGACGATGCTGCTTCCCTCTACAGCTTCCATCCTTTCTCGTTGTCGAGACGTCCCTCCGAAAGTCGACCTTCCAAAAAGGTGTACGTGGAGTTTTCGATGCAGACATCACCTATGCAATCGCCGACCGAATCGCTCTTCCCTCCGATCGACTCCCTCACCACCGATGAAAATGCTGACAGAGCAGATGCACAGGTCGGCAGTGACGTACGAGAACCCGCGGCTTTTCCGCCTAACCGACCCTGCGGCTACTTGGTCGTCGACACTCCGCTGCGGCGTCGAAAGAGCACAGCATCGCTTCTGAGCACACACGACCTGAGTGCTGAACTGGATGAGCCTGGTTTGTGGCCATCACTGATTCGCGCTCCACGCTTATCTTCCATGACTCGACGATGCAGTGAAGGCAATCATTTGATCACTGCAACAAGCCGTCAAGAAGATAGCGACGAGGAGTCGGATCTGGATGTCAATGCAGATCTCGAAGACCTTGCAGAGCATTCAGGGATCATGGACGCTACGCGCGGGTACAAACGCAAGCTGCACGTGGCCGGAGTGGAGTCGACGGTCGAAGCTCAAGGGCACGGCGCAGGCCGCGCGATTGCTTCCATTCCAGCCCGGTCTCTTCGCATCTCGGCCGCGTTGGATCGCATTCAGGCTCAACGCATCTACCGAAGTGCAGGCTGGGATAGCCCGGACGATGAGGAAGAAGGCGCGAAGATCGTGACATCGAGAACTCCGCGAAACTCGGCAGCGACCGGCCGACCTTCGCTGCCAGGATGCGATTTCACGCGACCAAACGGCATGACCGAGCCTGTGCGTAAAACCAAGTCGATGGCATCGATGGCAGCCGCCAAGCGCCCACCTTTGTCCCCGTCGCTACTTCGAGCTCGATCTCCGAGTCCTGATTTGAGCCTCTTGACGAATCCAAGCGACGACGAAGAGGTGCTGCTTACCGAGGACCTCGACCTAGACACAGAGGAGTTGTCTCGCGAAACCATTTTGGACGAGGAATTCGATATGAGGATCGGTCAAGCATTGTCCACGCAGTTTTCGAGATCGGGCAAGGGCATGACCCAGTCAGCCAAACCAAACGTCAGTGGCGATCCGATTGATGACTCGTATAGCGCAGTGTCGAGAAACAACGGAGGCTCTGTCGACGGTGGCAGTCTAGAGGGAGCAGAGGACAGCAAGGACTCTCAACAGACGTCGCAATTGCCAACGCGCTCGAGGACGAGCTCGATGAGCAGTGTGATCGAAATGATCCAGGAAGCAGATGAGCTGCTCTCCTCGACCGGACATTCTATTGGACACAGCTCGGGCCACGACACGAACATCAGCGATTCGGGAGGAACGAGCGGCCATGATCCTCAGCGACCCAACCATGTTGTAGCCGAATACATCCGACACCGCGTTTCGATGAGATCGCGAGGACTTCCTACCCCAGTCACGCTTGCGGTCGCGCGATCGACGCGGTTCAACGAACCTGCACCGGACAAGAAGCCTTCAGCTTTCGAGGTAGACGAGGAGACTGCTGATTTCGAGGGCAAGGACTTGTCGCCAAGCCTTCAAGATACACCGGACACAACGGCCGGATCGGAAATCTGGAGCAGCTTCCACGCAGATCGATCAAGCACCGTTTCCACTGCGACGACGCGCTCCAGCGGCAGCACCGTGGAGATGTCGGCTGCAGCTCGAACAGTCTCGAACACAATCGCGCTCGCAAACCTCGATAAACCTCAGTCGAATGAAACGTTGTCAGCTGCTGCAAGTATCACTCAGATGGAGAAGCGAGCTCCGTTCGTGGCCTCGACAACGCGGGTCATTCCGATCCTACGCAGGAAGAGCAGCGGTCTGCCTGTAGCACGCGCTAGTGTGCTGAAACAATCACGGCCTTCTCTTCCGCTTCCATCCAAATCGATTCCGCCGGAGAGTCCTGTTGGCAATGCCAGTGCAAATACACCGCCAAAGCCGGCAATTCGACGATATCAAAGTGTCGCAAGCCTGCAGACCAGCAGAGACCCGACAGATTCGAGGAAGCCGGCTGGCTACGGGAGCGTACGGAACATGGCACGCTATAGCGACACGTCCCGTGCAACGCCGTCCAAATCGGTGCATGCTAATGGCGGAAGCATCACACCGTCAAAATTGCCAAGTTTGAGGTCCACGGCGAGCACCACTGAAACGCTGCGTTCGCGATCAGCTTCGGAACAGGGCTCGGGTGGGAGCAAGATCGACCCGAGGTTGCAAAGTCCGATTGCATCTGGGCGAAGTAGGATCCCATCGAGGAACGGCGTGCGCGCGAGTGGCCTGCCACGACCTGCGCATGATGGCTGAGACTTGCGGTCGACGTTGCTCGTTCCACCATCAACCTGATCATACCCGCCTGTGATTCAGCACAATGCTGCTAGTCTCTTGATACCCGAGTCTGTCTTTGTCTTTGCTTTATCTATGATTTCATATTGGCAGTCTGGACTGCGACGCTCCCTTTGCCCTGACGAAGGCCCTTCATGACAGTGTGAGGCTGAAGTTGGCAGATGAGAAAGTGAGTCTCGGGCAGTAAGGGTGTGTGATTGCATCGTTGTAGAAGGAGAAAAAGCCTGGCATCGGATTTTCTCGGCGTTGTGGATCGCGACAGAGCCAGGTCGGTAACAGAAAACACAGTGCATGGACCCGTGCAGCGGCGAGTGGTGTCTTGTTCAAAGATTCGGCAATTGTCTCCCAACGACCATCATAGACGAGCTCGAATGGCAGTCGCTCTCGCATGCGGACACAATGAGCACATCGACGTCGAAAGGAGGATACACGCAGGGATACTCGGAGGCGGTGCTGCGTTCTCATGCCTCTCGCACTGCAGAGACATCGGCGGCATTCCTACTTGCGCATCTCAAGCCAGATGCTCGAATCCTGGACATCGGTTGTGGACCGGGTACGATCACAACGTCGCTGGCGAAATACATCCCTGACGGCAGCATCATCGGCACGGACGCTTCTGCCGAGGTGGTCTCCGAAGCACAAAAGCGGCTGGAACTTGTCAAGCTCGAAGCAATCTCGGAAACCGAGATAACCGCTCTGAATCGCTGCAGCTTCCATGTGGCATCCGTGTTTGAGCTGCCTTTTGCCGACGACTCGTTCGACGTTGTTTACTGTCATCAGGTCCTGATGCACCTTCCTCGGCCGGTCGATGCGCTCAAGCAGATGCGCCGAGTGTGCAAGCCGGGCGGACTTGTTGCTGCGCGAGAAGCCGACTTTGGCGATGCGATCCTCTACCCTTCGACAGAGACCTTCAAGACATGGCGGGAGACTTGCGAGGCAATCTTTTGCTCAGGCGGAGCGGAAGCACAAGCGGGTCGGAAGCTGGTACGGTGGGCTCTGGAGGCTGGCTTTTCGGCGGGCGACCAGCACATGACATTCTCGTCAAGCAACATGACATATGGGGGCCAACCGAACGCAAAGTTCTGGGGCCAGATGTGGGCTGACAGGGTTGCAGCCGACTCGTGGAAGAAACAGGCCTTGGCGACGGGCAAAGCGACGCAGGAGCAGATCGAACAGATGCACAGGGACTGGCTCAAGTGGAGCGATACACCTGACGGAGTCTGCATTGTCTTCTGTGGCGAAGTGTTGCTTCGCAAATGAGACAATTAAGATGGGTCGGGACAGCCCGCAAGTGTGGTCGATGCACAACACTGCTTCTCACGAGTTGACACAGTAAGCTGATGAACAGCAAAGGTGAACCCGCACGATGAAGCACAAGCAATCCGCGGATCGCGGCGCCGGAAGAATCAAGGCCGTGCGCGATCCCGTGGTTGCAATCAGGGTCCAGCCGAGAACGTGTTTTGCCAGGCCGCGCACAACGGCAATCGGACGTCCGCGGTAACATCACCGAACAGTACCGCACGGTGTTGGGTGAATCATGGCACTGTCTTGCCTCGGAGAATGGGCGGCTTGATCCATATATAAAGTGACACCGTCTGTGTTCAAAGACTCGATAGCTTCTCAGAGTACTGTCAACTCGCCCTTCTCCTAACCATTCTATTGACTCCTCCGACGTCAACATGCTGGCTCCCATTACTGCCCTCGTCGGACTCACCTGTTCAGGCCTGGTCTCTGGACTCACACTGGCCTACCCCGTGCTGGTCAACACGCACTTCTTGGACCAGCAAGGGGCCAAGATCTCGCCCTCGGCTCTCCACGTCAATCTCAACATCGCGCAAAGGCTCACGCTTTGGGAACGCGCTTTCAAGGCAGGATTTGTGATTCCTGCAGTTTCTGTCCTGTCCGCTGTCATGCTGACCACATTCGCCTTCAGCTGCGATCCTCGGAACGACAAGAATGCCCTCATGAAGCGTCTCGGGAGCAACTGGGAGCTTCGCAAGAAATATATCCTCGGAGCCGCCGCCTTGTCGGTCAGCCTGATCGTCTTCACGGTGGCGGCGATTTTGCCGACCAACGCGAAGCTCTTGGCATTGAGACAAGCCGCCAACAACAGGGAGACCATCGATGTCAACCAGGCCGAATCGTTGATGCGAAGGTGGACGCAGCTTCACAATGTTCGCGTTGTCGCTGCTTTCAGCAGCTTTGTTCTTGGCTTGTACTCTTTTGTAGTGCTCTGATACCACGAATTGCACACCCTCGTGATACGGAAATGCATGCTTCTTACCTATCAAACGATGTGTAGCAAGCACACCCTTTAGCTTGCTCAAGCGCGAAGCAATCAGTTGACCGACAAGACGGTAAAATGTATTTCGACCGAATATCCGCGCAGCCAGCCAATTTTACCGCGTTTTCCCCCACTTTGAGCCTGTCAAAGATAAGGTTTTGGGCGTCTTTGTCCTCTCGTTCATCATGGCTGCCTTGCTTCTCTTTTCTGTTCATACGCCACTTCAGAATCATGACGATCGACATCGACAGATCTTTGCGAGACGATGCACAGGAGACAAAGGTGCTCGGACAGCTCCTCTTCACTTTCTCGGATGACGAGCTGGACCACGATCCGAAACAGTATCTCGAGCTTCAGACGCCCCATCGCGAGCGACCCAAGAAGCACGTCTGGAAGCAGCTTTCGTCGTTACGGCCAGAACTAGAAGCGCTATCCACATGCTCAAGCTCAGAACAGCTGCTACATGTCAGATCCAGTCTGGCACAACGTGGTTTCGCCGCGTTGCCTCACCATAGTCGAGTCCTCGCCGAACAAGGTATCGACACGCAGCCCTCCTATACTGCCTTCATCGAGGAGAATCTGGCCCTGATCCGAGACATCACCGGCGCTGACCACGTGATCCTCTGGAACACTGCCAAGCGCGATTCTACCGTCTCTGTATCTGCCAGCTTGTCTGATGATCACCAACGACAACGTCAACCACAAGGCATCGAGTCCAGATTCGACAAGCCTCTTGAGCCACCCGCGCTTTTCGCTCACATTGACCAGGATCCCACGTACGGCACCAAGGTATGCTCCATGGCTATCGCCGGAACACCATCGCTCCTCGAACAATCAACATGTCTGGATCCATTCGAGGCTATGGACAAAGACCTTGCGAAAAATTACTCAAGAACCATGATCATCAATCTATGGAGGCCCGTGGGTGGAACCGTTTATCAAAAGCCGCTGGCAGTGGCGGACTACAGGTCGCTCGACAAAGCATCGCTCTCAAGGCACGCCAATCCGTTCGGATGCGGCTACGATATTCACGCACACCCCGACCAAACGTGGCATTTCATCCCACATCAGACCAACGACGAGGTTCTTGTTTTCAAATGCTACGATTCGCTCTCACTGCAACAGCAACAGCTGCAAGGTCCTCGAAGCGGTGCAGAGGCCCTCTATGGAGCGCACTGTGCAGTCTCGAATCTCAAAGGCGACTATCCGACACCCCCACTGGACGCCCCACCACGCAAAAGCGTCGAGTTTCGCTTTGTGGCGGTTTGGCGTTGATACCATCCCCCTCTGTCTTGCGACAGGGACCACGAAAACAAATCACAATCATCTTGCAGTCATTGTCATTAGCTTTTTCAATTGCGTCAAAAGTCTTCGAGTGAGCATGCAAGACCGCTATGCGGAGACCATGGTGGCCTGCTGTCGCCAGTCTGGATCGGAACGCGAGGCCCAGTAGGTTGATGTGAGGATGGCAGCGCTGATGAACTCCATCATGGTCACCATACAAGTCTCTTCGATCACAAACTGTTGCGTAAGACCGTTTGCATCGTACACTTCCGAGTTGAAGTACTGTGTCAAAAGGCGGAGCAAGATTCAACGGTCAGTAACCCTATAGAAACGAACAGCACTTGACTTGCCGACTGTACTCACGTTCAGGTCAGGCAATACAGCCTGCAGGACGCCGAAGACACCACGTACGACCAGGAAGGGCCATGCGGTAGCTAGGAGCAGAAGTGTTAGATGGCCATACCAAGGCCTTCTTGCCGACTGATGCCTTTCCTCTTTCGTTGACGTACGAGTCGCATGGTTGTCTGCATCTTCGTAGCGACCTTGTACGTGCTGACGCATGGTGACGACGATGCATACAAGCAACGCAACGTTGATCGTCAGGAAGACCGCTTGTCCTGCCCCCCTCATAGCCTTGGAAGCCTCCAATTTGCTTCTGACTTGACTGGGCGACAGAGTCTTGTCGGTGTAGGCACCAGAGCTGAGAGATCCACCTGCGATGATGATGGCATTGGCAGCCACCAGCAGCCAGTCGGTCAGAATGATCCATCGATTCGAAGGATGGCGGTCGCCGCTCGTCTTCCACCGAAACATGCCTTTCAACCGTTGCAGGAATGCAGATCTTCTGTCCTTCCCTCTTGACTGATCCACGGGCTCCATCCAAGAGTAGCCGTTCCAGTGATTGCGCTGCCACGCAATCAAGTAGCGCGCGGTACATACGACCAGCGTGAAGTAACCTTCAGCACCAAGCACGTAGTAGGCCACGAGGACGTTAATGTTCCGGTATCCGATGACACCGAAGGAGAGACCGCAGGCTTGCGATGCTAGACGAACAAGGACGTGCAGCAGCAGAACAAGCCATCTCGACTTCCACGGCACCTTTCGAAGGATGAAAAGGGCGGATAGTACGATGAACAAGATGAAATAGAGGATGAGGAAGACGAGCGAAGCGCTAGCCAGCGGCGACCACATGATGATGTACGAGAAAGCATTGATGAGTCGATGGCAAGAGCAGTGGAATGAGGCTTCGGATACGATGGTACCTTTTCCTTCTTATTAAATAACGCAAAATTGGACCAACCCTCCTGGTGAGCACCATGGTCGAATCGACTTCACCGAACCAACGGACCGACGATGACGACGCCTTTTCGGCACGACTGCCTACATGCACCCCTCAGGCACATACGAACCCAGTTGAGCGACGAGCCGAGCGCAAACAGTCCAATCACAATCTCTTTAACCGAACCGACGATGACAACGCCTTTTCGGCACGACTGCCCACATGCACCCGTCAGGCACATACGGATCCTTTGAAACGACGACTCGGGCGCACACAGCCCAATCACGTCCTTGTTCGGGAAGGGAAGCAAGGCGAATGCCTCGGCTATTCGGAAGCTAGTACAGAGCCGAGAATGTCTCCGAACGCCACGAATTGCCCTGCTGCCCATGTGCACGGTATGACTCGTCGACAGTCATTCGGGCTTGCCGAAAGGCTCCGACTTCCGAACAAGCTGTGCAGTGCATGATATCTGACTTTCATTAATGGCTTCTCGCTTCTGCGGATGCTGGCATCCGAGATCATCCCGACCATTCGATTTCCGTCTAAGAGTGAGTGTTTGGCTGTTCGGCGAGCGAGGGTGAGCAAGAAGCCGCGAATTACCCCGAACGTCAATCGAAGCCTAGCCGCGTATGTCTCACATGTCGTCGTTGTGATCGGCGTGGGGATCTGCTTCCCGAACAGGCTGTGCAGCGCATGACGTTTGACGTTCTTTAGGGCTAAGGGTGTTTTCATTCCGATAGAAGCTGCTTTTTCCGCGGAGAACCGAATTCCAGTGGAATGGCAGCCGAATATCCGACAAAACGAGCCGAAGTTGTAAGTTATCCGGCGATATAACATCCCCAACTGAAATCAAGGTCTCTCTCGGACGCAGCGGTATTCGTCGGTGTTGGCGAGTGGTGACAGCGACATCTCCAGTCGGGAATCTCGATGCTCTCTGCAGGGTCTTGGAACGCCGTCATGTCCGACTGCTGATGGCGGGGCTTGCGAAGCACTGCGGGGAAAAGCTGTCCGAGTCGGCTCAGACCGCAGATCTTCTAAGCCCGCCGTCCGAGCGCAGTCTGCCGTCGTTCTACACGTCGATGCATCTTCGGTGGCCTGGTGATGTTGCCGGAGCAAAGAGTACCAGTGCCTCAGGGTGTACAACAGGGGGATGAGATTGCCGCTCGCTTACGCCAATGCACGTTCGCATTAGCGTGTGATCTCCACACATCATCAAAGACCTTTGCAACAGCTGTATGGCTGTGGACGCATACCCTTGATTCCGCCTGCTCGATTTCTCGTCGGTAAATCGTACAGCTCCACATCGGTGGGCATGCTAAGCGAGCCTAGGGAACAAGATTGCCGTGCCGTCCAAACGAGACCGGCCAAGGCCGTCATGCCGAAACGCTGCAACGGTGAGATGCTATAGCATTGTTTGTGTTCAAGTGAGAGCTCTCTTCCTTTGATGGCACTGTTGTGGTAGCGAGATAAATGACGACTCACGACCTCGCATACTCCTGGCCATTTGCGGGGTAGTGTTGCATGTCTCCTCTTCATGCCTGGCTTTCGTGATGGCTTTTGGTCCGAGCTCGTGGGCTCAGATGCCGTTCTGTGATCTTGAAAGGATGATGGATCCTCATGTTCGTATAAAGCAAAGCCTTTGCGCACTCGATCCCATCCGCGCTTGTCATCATTCGAGGAAGGCACAAGGCATCTCGAAAGGACGCTCCATCTTCAACAAGAGACATCATCGGCCCCTGAGCTCTGCTAGACAATATGCTGCCTACCCTTCACGGTGTAAGCGCACTTGCCGCCGTCGCCGTCCTCGGCGCAGCAGGAACAGGCTCGGCAACCGTGTTGCCCAGCTCTCACCTCCAAGAGCGCCAATCCACCGACGCTCTTCCGGTGCCGGGCATGGGCTTCAACACCTACAATCAGGTCTCGTGCTCTCCAACCGAAGCAAAGTCCCACACCACGATGGATCTCATGGCTTCGCAGGGCTACATCGCTGCAGGCTACAACTTCTTCCAGATCGACTGCGGTTGGGTTTCGAGAACATCCAGCCGAGACTCGTCCGGCAACCTTATGACCAACACGGACGCATTCCCCTCCGGTATGAAGAGCCTGGGTCAGTACGCAGCCTCCAAAGGCCTCGACTTTGGTCTCTACTCTGACGCCGGCTACCGAGCTTGCGATCCTCAGACGCCCAGTCCTGTCCTGGGCAGTCTAGGTTATGAGACGCAGGACGCACAGCTGCTCAAGAGCTTCAACGTGAGCTACCTCAAGTACGACAACTGCTACGCAGATGGTACCACCGCGGCCGACAACGCGCCCAAAGCTGCTCGTACAGATTTCCCTTCTCGCTTCGGCACCATGAGCAAAGCTCTCTCGAACGTCGGCATCAACAAGCTGCTCATCTGCCAATGGGGTGTACCACAGAAGCAGGCCAATGGCAGCCTCATCGGACCTGCTCAGTGGACTCAGGGTCTTAGCACCTCCTACCGCCTGTCCGACGACATTGCTTCAGGATGGATCAACGTGCAACGCATCCTGAATCAAGCCATCCCAATCTCGCTCAACGGTCGAAGCGGTCCGGGTCACTTCGCGGATGGGGATCTGCTCGAAGTAGGCAATTCGGGGATGTCGATCGATGAACAAGCCACACACTTCGCTTTCTGGTCAATGATCAAGAGTCCCTTGGTCATCTCTACCGATCTCTCTAGTATTTCTTCTGATGCCAAGGCAATTCTGCTCAACAAAGGTTTGATCGCTATCAACCAAGACAAGCTGGGACAGCCGGTCAAGCTGATCGAGCGGAGGACCAACAACTTTGATCTCCACGCTGGCAAGCTGAGCAACGGCGACATGGCTGTGCTCGCCTTCGACTGGAGCAATACGCAGAACACAATCACCGTCGACTTTGCCCAACTCGGTGTTGCCTCGGCCGACGTCACTGACCTTTGGACCGGTGCAACCCGAACCGCAGTCACATCGTACACTAAGCAGGTGAACGCTCACGGCTCCGTACCCTTGCGTCTGTCCAACATCAAGTACACCAACGCAGCCGCTCCCACCTTGAGCTACATCGAGGCTGAATCTGGCACGCTTGCAGGCAAAGCAGCCACCGCCTCGTGCGCTGGCTGTTCTGGTGGTACCAAGGTCGGCTACGTCGGTGGTGGTGCAGGCAACACGCTCACGCTCAACGGCATCAAGGCCAGTGGCAACGAAGCCGTGCTCTACTTTGATTACATCAACGCCGACGTTGGATTCTCGTTCGTCGGCGCTACCAACGAGCGCGAGGCTCAGATCAGCGTTAATGGCGGCAGCGCGCAGAATGTCAGCTTCCCGCTCAGCGGCTACGATTGGAGTCTGGACGTGACCAAAGGCTACAAGGTCAGACTGACGGGCTTCAAAACCGGTCAGAGCAACTCGATCACCATCTCCAACCCCAATTCGTACGCTCCTGACTTCGACCGCGTCGGATACGTCGCTTAGCGATCTTAACCTCTGCGCATGAATCAACATAGTTCAGCGGAAGCCCCGATCTTGAGCCTGCTCCACGAATCTCATTTGTGTCGCTTGAGCGTTTGAAATGTGTACGTTGTTCCACAGACAGGGTGTGAGAGGCTGGAAGCCGAATATCGATTTGTGGGCAGCCGTGGGTTTTGGCCTGTTGGAGCTCGGATAACTAGACGCGCTTCATAGCCGGGCCGGGAGCCACAAATTGCGGGGAAGAGACTTCTTTGGTTGCACGGATTCCAGGATGGTTGCCACTGCTATCTCTTTCCATCTGTTCTCCACCCTTCATTGCCAAACTTCCTATCGACATCAGCTCCTGCTTCAGAGCATAGATTCCAAATATGTCCAATTCAAAAGTAAGCGGGCTCGCCACCTGAGGTAACAACACCATTCGATAGCCTGGCTGACCAAGTCTTTCCACATCCATTGCAGTCCGGATACCTTCGAGAGATCTACGTGGGCGGACTGAGCGGTGGAACCCCACAGACGACCGACCTCAAGCTGCTCGAGCAGCAAGCCAAGGCTAAGCTCACGCCCGAGGCATATGCTTACGTTGCTGGAAGCGCTTCCACCGAGAGCACGGCCCGTGGAAACCTGGATGCTTTCAGCAAGTGGCACATCGGTACGCCTTCTTTGTCCTGTTCGAGAC